ATATATATATATATATATGACTTTCTCATTCTACTACTACTACCATATAAGAAGATGTAACCACAATACAAAAGTTTCATTCTTTTGACAAAAAAAATAAAATTCAAAAGAAAGAAAAAAAGTTATCTTTGCATTTCTCATGAACTTCGGAATCGTGTTAGGTTTCTATTGTTGGGGTTGGGAGTTCTTAACTGCCCTTCTTCTTTTCTCCACTCTTTCTTCTATCTAACAAAATAATTTTAATAATTTTCTACAAATTTTTTTTCAAAAATCCCAAAAAGGGGTTGATCATTTTGTGTTTCTCTACTCATTTCACCAATTTTCTTGAAAAAAAATATACAAAAAGGTTCATTTTTTGTGTGTTTAATTTCTTGTTTTAACAATTTTCTAGGTTTTCAAAAACTCCAACAACAAAATAAACAAAAAGGGGTTGTTTATTTTGTGTTTCTCTACTCATTTTACCAATTTTCTTGAAAAAAATAATATTTCCTTTTTTTTGGTTTTTTGTTATGGAGGTATTAGAAGAAGTTCAAGTAAGTGATGAAAAGAGTTTGTTAGAGTATGTTGTGATGAAGAAGTCATCACCATCACCATTTTTGTTGAAAACCTACATGTTGGTGGAAGATCCGGCGACGGACGACGTCGTTTCTTGGAATTCCGATGGATCGGCGTTTGTTGTATGGCAGCCGGCGGAATTTGCAAGGGATTTGTTACCTACACTCTTCAAACATAGCAACTTTTCAAGCTTTGTCCGGCAGCTCAATACCTATGTAAGTTTTCAATATATTCGCCTCGAATATTTACATCATCAAATCAATGAATATAACGTAAATGTTTAAACCCTTTTAGAACATATAATATTAGGATAACACATTTTTTCCGATAAAAACGTTATCTACATTTTGTGTTTGCATCAGATCAATAAATATAACTCAAGTGTCTAAACTTTTTTTAGAACATGTATTAAGAAAAAACACGATTTTCTCCGATGAAAGTCCATTGGAAATGTGCCGTCGGAAACTATTTCGATGATATAGATATAGTTGCCGACAAAAATATCCATTGAAAAAAACGTGTTTCTAATACAACAAACACGTGTTGAATTAATTTCTTATGTTTGTCGAAAAATTATTCACTACAAAAAAAAATTCCTTAAGAAAATATGAGTTAAATCGTTTTCTCGTTTTAATTTGTGATTTATTAAAAACTAATTTTATTTTATTTAGTTTTTTATTTTAAAAATCGAATTTATTTTCCTCCCCTCAACAAAAATGGTTATTTTTAAAAATTAAATACATAGAAATTAAACTATTAATCGATATATATTTGATAATGAAAGTGTATTTAATTAACTAGTCATTGTAATAATCACGTGTAGCTTGAGTAGTTTAATTCTTTTGATTATATAATAAAATTTAATTGTTGGTATCTTAAAGTAAAAAAGATTTAAAGAAAACAACTTAATTCTTGTTATTAGTAAAACAAAATTAAGATCACAAAGGATCTTTTGTGGGCTCAACTAATAGAACTACGTATCATGATTTTGGAGTTGACATTAAAATAATGATTATATTATTGACATAAATCATACTAGCTTAGAGCTTAGGTTAATAATAACAATTATAGGCTGTCAAAATAAGATGCATGTATTGCTAATTGTCAAAAGTACTCACAAAATAGCTAATCACTTTGGATTAAGTTTGTCTTATTTGTACACTTTTGAATTAGCATGCGTAATAATAGTGTTTTCACTATTTATTAACCTTTTTAATTGCTCATGTTTCTTCACTAATAAAGTGGAAAAGGTAGTGGAGATTAAAAATGTGCACTATTTTTCATGGATTAATTAAGAAGCTTCTTATCTTTTGAGGAAATTATTATTTAAGTTCGAGACGAATAATTACATACAATATGATTTTCATTTTTTGAATCGAATGTTTATTTTTCATATGATTCTTGAAATTTATTCTAATCATCCATTTTGCATAAATAACATTAGGGTTTTCGTAAAATTACAACAAGTCGATGGGAGTTCAGTAACGATAAGTTCAAAAAGGGCGAAAAGAATTTACTCCGTGAAATTCGTCGAAGAAAAGCTTGGACAAATAGGCAACAACCAAACAACGGCGGACAGAGCCAGGACGCAAATAGTAACAACAAGAAAGATAATATTACAGAAGAAGATCAAAGATCATCATCATCAACTTCATCATCATCTGAATATATAAATCTTGTTGATGAGAATAAAAGGTTGAAAATGGAAAATGGAGTCCTTAGCTCTGAGCTTTCACTCATGAAAAACAAGTGCAAAGAATTAATGAATATTGTTACAATATTTGCTAAAATTCCAGAGAAAGAAGAAGAAAAAAAGCCAATGTTATTTGGAGTAAGATTAGAAGTTAAAGAAGAAATGGAGAGGAAGAGAAAAAGAGTTGAACTTAATGAAATAGCTAGTGTTTTTCTCTCTCAATTATGCAAATAAAGTAGAAATTTAGAGAGAAAAATAATCAAGTGGTTAATTAATAATATATGTAACAGTTGTACTATGTTATTTTGTATTATTTCATGCAAAATTAATAGTATTAATTAGCATGTAGTGACTACTAATTAAGTGGAGATATATACCTAAGTTGTATAAATTTTGCAAGTGTTATTTTCATGTGATATGTTAATAAAAAATTTCAATTAATCATTTACTTTTCTAAACTATGCCATTCAAAGTTAATTTGCTATATATATATATATATATATTCAGTTGTTAGAACATGTTACAATGATATGTCGATCAGTGTCGGGGCTACAAATTTGCAAAGAGTGGCCAAAGCTTGAAGATGTATGAAAAGTAATACTCGATTTATATTTACAATATAATTTTTTGACGAAGAGAGTTCAAATAATCACCCTTCGCTATTCGTAGCTTCGTCTCTGATTTTAAATAATTTATATTTCAATATATTCCCTCGATTTACTTTTGCTTGTTCATTATACTATTAATATTCAGTTTTATTTGTTTAGTTTAAAAAATCAAAAAATAATTAACTATTTTATATCTATTTTATTTTTATTATTAAATATGGATGGAGTAACATCAAAATAACGTGGCATGAAATTATGGAAATATAGAGATGGTCAAAATCTTAGAGATTTTATATTCTGTAATTGATTAGAGATTCAAAATTCAACTTTTATGTGGGACATGAAAAAGAAGAAAATGACAAAACAGTGTTCAATGAACTTGAAATACATAACAAAAATAGGATTTTGTCTTCTATATAAACCACTAATATTTTAAAAATAAAAACATCTATTGTGATGAAATAAATTAAAGTTGCCTTCAAAAAGAAGACTTGACTATTTTGATCATACCAAAAAGAAGAAAAAGGTGATTTATAGACGAAATATAAGATAAAATTTTGAAGAATTTGAAAGTCATGATAATAATTCTCAAAGCTTGACTAAATATTAAAATTATTGGCAGAGTCGGAATTTAAAGTTTATAAATTTTAACTTGTTATCAAATTCATAACTTGTTTAATTAGTCATTGTTTTCAATATTAAACACACACATATATATTTTTGATGAACTTTAATACAAATTTTAAGCAAAAATTATTATATTCATTCGAAGTTATACCTAATATTATAGCTCCACCAAATCATAATGATCTCTCAAATCATAACAAAATGATTTTACTTTTTTCTATAAGGATGACAACACATTTGTGCGAAAGACGTTTTTTTCTCTTCCATCTCCCCTCTGTTCCAAAGGCCAAGAGAGAAACTGCATTTTATGTATCATTTTTTTGCGAGTTTCATAGTTGAACTATTTGGTGCTTGTTTTTCATACTTGAGCTATCACAAATTATTTATCAAAACTATTTGAAGTTGACTAGACCAAGCGTTTGAATTTTACAATCGCTAAAAAGCGCATGGCACCTTAATTTGCCCATAAAATTCTATCCACGTGACAATTGACTCATTAATTTTGAGGTGCGTTTTGATAAATAGTTAGTAATAATATTATAAAATAATACTTAAAACCTATCAGTCATTAAAACTAAACCACTATGTTGTCTTACATACAAGATTATGTAGTAACTAACATTAATAATATAAAGGAAAATGATAATTATAACATCTTATCATTTATCCTTCAATCAATCATTTTTAATTTGATTTTATAATTTATCCTTTTGCCTCGAGGAAGTGTTACTATTTGATAGTTTTGGGAAATTAGATGAACATCAACATGAGATATTAAATTTTCTAATAAATAAATAATCTTTATCTGTATTAACAAATACTTATAACAATAACTTTACAGAAACATAAACAACAAAGTTTAAAACATGTACTCAAAAACAACAATTAATATCATAAGCATAAATTAATATTTGTAAAAAATATACCAGGAACTATAACAATAGAATGAAACAGAAATGAAAAAATTGAGCCCACTAAATGCACAATGTACCCTTAAGGAAATTATTCCCCTCTAGTAACTGGGGTTTAAAGGAATAGATCCTCTCAGGATGGAATGATTCTATTCACAAGTGTATTGATACAAAAACAATGGTGTTAGTGAGCCACTCAACATGAGCAAAGTACACGAATATTTAATTGTGCCAAAGAAGAAGAAGAAGTTCAGATTTTTTGTTGTTTTAAAATGAGAGGAAATCCCTCTATTTATAGACAAAAAGGGTAGTGTGAACAAATGCTTATTGTGCCTTATCGGGATTGTCACAACTCTTTGGAAAAGTTACAACCCTTCAGAAAGGTCACAACCTTTCATAAAAGTCATGACAATTTTTCATAAAAGTCGCAATTGTTCATAAAAGTTGTAATTGTTCATAAAAGTCACAATTTTTCATAAAAATTACATCTTTTCATGAAAGGGAAAGGGTATTTTTGAAAATAAATAAATTTAAATGGAAATTCTTGCTTGTGGTGGTGCCACGTAGGCAAACCTAGGGTTCTCTTTTCTATAAATATATGATTCTTCTACTATCGTATTCTTCGATTTTATTATTATGTTGTTTTCTTTACTTTGTTTATCATACTATTTATGTTTGCTATTGTTCTTTTCAAAGTCCATCTTGTTGCAACAGGAATGAACAAAATCAAATAAATTTTGGCTAATGCATGTGATAAAGATACCAATTAATTTCCATTATTTTATATATATTTCACTTGAGCTGAGGGTCTATATATCAGAAACAACATCTCTACCTTCACAAGATAGATGTAAGATTGTGTATACACCACCGTCTCCAGTCCCCACTCATCGGATGTGTATGTTATTGTAGTTTAGGTAGAAAACTCGCAAAAGTGAACTAGTGATAGTTCAGATGTGTTTTCGACCATTATCTGTCGTTGAAATTGAAGAAATTGACTAGTACTAGTATGTTATAATAACTTGAATATATATATAAACATGTTACATGATTGAGAATTCATCATGAAGTCCATCTAATTCTCCTTTAAGACTATGTTGTTGAATGATCAAAACAGATGCAGTTACTGAGAAATCAGAAGCTGAAAGAATATCACCAATAGGACCTAACTCAGGACATTCTTCCCAATCACTCATCCCTACTGTTAACACAGAATTAACCCGCCCTCCCCGTCCCACGATAAACAAACCATATTGCCCTTCTAACGACCTTAATGTCGAAAATGTCTGTCCAGAATTTATGAGGTATTTCTCAATGTAAGCAACGCGTCCACCAGCAACATGTTTGTCGTAAAACTCAGCAAAACACTCATCATCTATCTTCATTTCTTCTAAATGTTCGCTAGTATTAGCTTTTGCTTTACTAATTCTTGATGATACACTATCTCCCGCGGCTTCTAACAAGAATCTAATTACAGTTAACTTTACTCCAGGATGTCGTGCTACACGTCCTGCATACACAAGTGCTTCTCTGTCATCCTTTCCACCAATGAATATCACTGCTGCATTGAGGGAAATGGATGATCTCGCGATCACTGTTTTACCAAGTCCTCTGTCTACTAGTATCCCTACTGAACAAGGTGCATTTCGAAGAACCTGAGATAGATCATACATAGTACAAGTTACAAAATGGTCCACTACAGAATGTACTAAAATGAGAATTTTGCTTGACATACCTTACGATTGATATGACGAAAGCCTGTATGACCGACCTGAAGTCGTCCATCTTCCTCTTGATTCTTATGAAAAGGAAGTATAACAAGATGTACCATCAGGTCCTCAGCAAGGATACTTATGTCTTGATGCATGTTATTGATGGTAGAAAGTGCCATCATTCGTCGTAAGCTAACACCTTGACAGTTCTCGTTTAAATAAGCGTTGACATCTTGAGTGATTTTCTCTCTCATTTCAACTACCGTAGGGTCAGTCACAGTTACAGCATCAATTCCCTCGCCTTGTGTTATCAATGTTGCTGCAATTTTATCTGTTAAATCGATCATATCAGTTAAGTAGACCATTATCCCTGGATTTACTGGCCCTCGCGAAATTTCCATGAAGTTTATTGCTGAGTAAACATCTTGAGGACTGCGAATGCAGAGCAATATTCGAATCTCATTCACCGGATTGACACATTGTAATGCCATTTTCTGTGTTGGTGAACGTCTCCTTGCACGTTCAATAATTTTTGCCACGACTACCGGGGTGTATATTATGGTTAGAAACGTTACAAACACCAACGCGATACTTGTTGACATACTTATGACATTCATCTGCATCCACAAGTCGCAAATCAAATCACACGAACAAACAAAAACAATCACCATCATAAATGAGAAAACTAAAGAAATAGATATTATACATAACACAAACACTCAAACTTGACCTCATCTGGCAAGTAAGCACTCCAAACTTCGATAGTACACATCGATCTAGACACCTTACCTTTGTCTCAACTAACGCAATGCAGACAAGTTGCATTGTCTTGATCTGTGTATACTCAAAGTTGGAGCGTTTACTTACCAGCTGACGTCAAGTTTGAGTGTTTATACTTATTCTAGGACGAACGAGACATACCCGATATGCATTAATAGCCAAGTAGACTTGAAAATGACCCTTGATATTGAGTAACAATCCAGTAGCAACTGATTCAGGCCAGTGAAATCCAAGCATCAATCCAGAAACAACAGAACCAACAACTTTACCACTTGTTGCAATTATAAATGGAATAATAATTTTACCCCATGAAGCAATTTTACCAGCCTCAAATTCAGAAAGTTTAGCCTCAGTTCCAACCCAAAAGAAAAACAATGGATAAAAAATTGTCCTAAAAATATAATTCACTTTCCCAATCATCATTTTTGATATTCTTCCTTCTCTTGGCATAAACAAACCAACCAAAAATGCACTCAAAACTTTGCTATAACCAACAACTGGTGACATACTACATATTAAGATTATAAATGCTAATGCCACAACTAAATGTGATCCTTTCATAGGTTTCCCTTCTGGATTTTCATTATTCACCCATTTCATAACAGATGGTACTACTTTCGATGCTAACAACGTCTGAAACACCAATATCGCCATCATCTTCAACATCATTATCACACTACGATTCTGAAAGTTCTTATCAGGATCAAATATGAGAAATCCAATAGCAATCAACAGGATCGATACAACATCAGAGTGTATCCCCGCGTCAACAA